GGGAGTTTCAATTCAGAGTCTTTATTGAGGGAAAAAGGCTGTTTCCCTACTTAGATGGCACTCTTCCAAGGCCGGCTGAGTCCGCCTCTGAAAATGAAAAGGCCGACTGGGCGGCTAATAATGCCCAGGTCACGTCGATCTTGCTGGGTGCGGTGGAACCCAACATTGCCTTGAGTTTGAGATCATTCTCTACTGCCCATGAAATGTGGAGTCATCTCTGTTCACTTCACTCCCAGGCGAGTGCTTCTCGTCAATTTGAAGTATCCACTGCGATTGCAAATCTGTCCCAAGGTGATTCCGATGTTCGTCGCTACTATCAAGCTGCACTCCATCTTTGGACAGAAGAAGATATGTTGTCTCTTGCTATCACCAAAGGGCAGGTCACCCCCGCCATGCTTCAGGAACGCAAACGTCTGCGACTCATGCAATTCTTAGCCAAGTTGCGTCCTGAATTCGAGCCAGTTCGTGCTTCATTGCTTCATCGCAACATTACTGCTATTGATGATGCTGTTGCTGAGCTCATCCGCGAAGAGACTAGGTTGCGCAGTCAAGCTCAGGTCGATCATGGTTCTTTTAGTTCTGAGACTGCTTTCGCAGTTGATCGCACAGGCAAGCCTCAGTTTCAACGTCCTGTTCCTCCTCATGTTGAGTGTCACTTCTGCCGGGAGAAAGGTCATGTTCAGATTCATTGCCGAAAACGCAACCATTGTAACTACTGCAAAACTGATGGGCACATTGTTCTGGACTGCCCGTCGTTAGCTCGTCAAGGAAAGACTGCTGGATCTCGTTCCTCTGCTGGATCGCGTCCATCTGCTCCAGTGCCTGCGTACGGTGTTCAACTTCCTGTAACTGTTATGTCACCGTCTCCTCAAGCCGCCGGGCTGCTTGGGGCTTCTCCGGCTCCCTCTCAACTCTCTTCGGATGCGATTGAGCAGCTTGTGCAATCTGCTCTCCAGAAGGTTCTGCCTTCTGCCTTGCAGTCTGTTTTCTCTACTACTCCCCCGACAGGTACTTCGGTCTCTTGGCATCTTGATTCCGCAGCTTATAATCATATGTCTAGCATTCGTGATAAATTCTTATCTTTGAAAAGTGTCCCCTCTCTTGAACTACAAGTAGCAAATGGATCTCGTCTTCCTGTCAAGGGGATGGGAACTGTTCGGCAGCCTAATCTGACGTTATCTGATACTCTTTATGTTCCTGGCTTGGTTCCTAATTTGGCTTCTGTTGGTCAGTTGGCTAAGACTGGCTGTCGTGTTATATTTGATTCCGATGGGTGTATGGTACAGGATCGGAGAACGGGGAGGATGCTGGGTAAAGGTTCAAAGCATGGGCGCACATATATCTTGGAGTCATTAGAGTCTCGTTCATCCCTGGAACCTGGACCTAAGGTGGATGGCGCGCCTACTGTTGCCGAGTGCAGTTCAAGTTTTACTAGCAATTTTCATTCTTATTCTGTTTCTGTGGAAGACTGGAATTTGTGGCATTGTCGTTTGGGCCATCCTCATTCTGTACGTTTGAAAACCATGTTTCGGAATAAGCTTCTTCCTGGGGTTTTGGGTTCTTCTTCTGTTTATGAAACTCCTTGTGTTAGTTGCATTCAGGCAAAAACGACTCAGATTTCTTTTGGTTCTAGTGATACACAGTATGCTGCCGCTTTTGATTTAGTACACACAGATTTATGGGGTCCCCCTCCTACTACCTCTCGAATGGGCTATCGTTATTTTGCATTATTCATTGATCATGCAACTCGATATTGTTGGGTATATTTTCTGCGAAAGAAATCTGAACTGTGCAGCATTGCACTGGAGTTTATTCAAATGGTCCGCACTCAGTTTGGTAAAACCATTAAGATTATTCGTTCCGATCCTGGTGGTGAATTTAACTCGACTCCTCTCCTCGACTTCTATAAGCAGCATGGTATTCTCTCTCAACTCTCCTGTCCTGGGGTTTCACAGCAGAACGGTTTAGTTGAACGGAAGCATCGACACGTTCTTGATTTGACTCGGGCTCTACTTATTCACTCTCATGTTCCTGTTGGTTTTTGGGTTGAGGCAGTGCATACTGTCGTTCATCTCATCAATCGCCAGGTCACTCCTGTTCTGAACCAGCATTCTCCCCACTTCATGCTCTTCGGAAAACATCCGGATTACACGCGCCTGCGTGTGTTTGGCTGCCGTTGCTTTGTGTTGTTATCGTCGAAGGAACGACATAAACTGGATCCTAAAGTTGCTACATGTGTATTTATTGGGTACAGTGATCGTCAAAAGGGATACATTTGTTATGACGTTACTTCTCGTCGAGTTCGTATATCTCCACATGTTGTCTTCATGGAAAATCTTCTTCACTACAAGCTGGTTTCCAAGGATCCTCCTGATCTCTCATTTCTCGACTCGCTGCCACTGACTACCTTGTTGGAGTTGTCTTCTCCGACTGTGTCCCGACAGCCTCCTGTCGTGGTTGAACCCGATTCTCCCTCTCATTCCGGGACTTCTTCCACGGAATCCTCCACCTCTCCCGAGCCAGTCACCCCCTCGACAGCAGGTTCGGCGTCGGCTTCCTCATCCTCTAGCTCGTCAAGCTCGTCCGAGCCCTCCCCTCCGCCGTCTCCTCCTCCCGTCCCAGTTCTGCGTCGCTCCAATAGGAGCAATTTTGGCCAACCACCACTAAGGTCCCATGATTTTGTGGCCTTTTCATCTGACGCACTAGCCATTCCCATTCCTACCTCATATCGTCAAGCTCGTGGACATGAACATTGGGAACGTGCTATGGATGAAGAAAAAGATGCTCTTGAAGCTCAAAATACTTGGACTCTTGTCCCTCGCCCTGTGGATCAGAATGTAGTGGGCTCTCGCTGGGTTTACACAGTTAAATTAAATCCGGACGGGTCCTTGGAGCGATTTAGAGCTCGGGTTGTTGCTCAAGGGTTCAAACAAGAATTTGGCATTGATTATGAGGACACGTTTGCCCCGGTTGCTAAAATGCAAACTGTCCGTACAGTTTTAGCAGTAGCCGCATTGCAGAACTGGCCTCTCGTGCAACTCGATGTTAAAAATGCTTTCCTTCATGGTGACTTGAAGGAAACCATTTACATGGAACGTCCTCCGGGTTACACTAAGGGTGATAGCTCGACTGTCTGCTTATTGCACCGGTCCCTCTACGGCCTAAAGCAAGCTCCTCGTGCCTGGTTTGAAAAATTCCATACTACCATTGTGCAGGCTGGTTTTGTTCAAAGTGCCAATGACCCTTCGTTATTCACTCGGTCTACTATCCATGGCTTGACTGTTCTTCTGATTTATGTTGACGATATGATTGTAACGGGTGGTGATTCTGCAGGCATTCGAGAGTTGACTGATGCTTTGCACAAGGCCTTTCGTCTAAAGGAGTTGGGTAATCTTGCTTACTTCTTGGTACTCGAGGTGCAACGCTCGAGTCATGGTCTGTTTGTTTCTCAGCATAAATATGTTTTGGATCTTTTAGAGCAAGCCCGACTTCTTGACTGCAAACCTGTAGTCACTCCCATGGAACAAAATTTGAAGCTCTGCAGTAAAAGTGGAGACGTTCTCTCTTCCTCGGATAGCTCTATGTATCGCAGTCTTGTTGGCAGCCTCATATACTTGACTTCTACGCGTCCTGATATCTCCTATGCTGTTCAAATTGTCAGTCAGTTCATGTCCGCTCCCCGGACGTTGCATTTGGATGCTGTTTATCGGATTCTTAGGTATCTGCGTGGCACGGCTGAGATTGGACTTTATTTTCCTTCTTCTGGGGATCTCTCGCTCTCAGCCTATGCTGATGCCGACTACGCCGGTTGTCTTGATACGCGCAGGTCCACTTCTGGGTGGTGTGTTAAGTTTGGTTCCTCACTTATCTCCTGGCGTTGCAAAAAGCAGGATCGTGTTTCCAAGTCTTCTACTGAAGCCGAGTACCGTTCTATGTCTGATGTCAGTTCCGAGTTGGTTTGGCTGCACCGTCTTCTGTCCGAGTTAGGTGTCTCATGTCCCACTCCTGTTACGTTGTATGCCGATAATATGAGTGCTGTTCGGATTGCTACTAATCCGGTTCTGCATGATCGTACGAAGCACATCGAGATTCATTTACATTACATTCGCCAGCTAGTTTCAGAGGGATGGATGCAGTTGAAGTATCTCCATACAGACGATCAGCCAGCGGATCTCTTGACCAAGGCGGTTTCCTCTAGTCGTCATTGGTTTTTGTCACACGAACTGATGTTGCGTCAAGCACCATCTGTTTGAGGGGGGATGTTGGAATATGTAAATTAGAGGATCAAAGTTGTAAATATATTTTGTATGTGGACTGATCGAACAGGCACACGTTAGGGTTTTGTGGTTAAACCCTTGCGTGTTTGACAGCCTATTTAAGCTGAATTATGGCTTAATGGCTGATTAAGTAATCTAAGAACCCTATTAGCCACCGTGGAGTAAAGCCTTTCTGAAAGGCCGAACCATGTTAAATCTCGTGTCTTTTATTGTTATGTTCATCGATTCGAGGTAGATTATCAGCAAGGTTCTATATATAGTCACATTTCAGATGTGAAAATAAAATGTCGGAAATATATGTACCAACATTTTTTTTAAATACCACAAGATCACATTCAATGTCGAAGTAAATGCCGGTTAATTAATGTAGGTTTCTACGATTTATGTATATGTCAGTAACTTTAAGCGACAATAAAAATAAAATAGACATTTCAATGCACTTAACCGTCATTTTTCGTATTTGTCACTACGTGGACATTTTGACTATCTTTAAGTCATGTTTGAAAATTACAACATAGAGCATTTTTTTTAAGAGCAAATAACAACGGATGTAAAAGACAATACAACCAATGACGATGAGCTGAAAGCACGCAGCTGGAGTCCCATTACAGAGGCTACTTAATTAATTATCTCCTAACATATATATAAATATTATTACTACGTACGCAAGCAGCAGTCTCATCTTTACGTGCATGGCCGGCGACGGCAGACGGACATAATTGTTCACTGGATGGCGTCGTTGAAATTCCACAACCCGCTCCACAGCCAATCCTCAACGATCGGACCAGAACCAAACGCCGCCGGAACGAGTTGATATTGCTGCGCCGGCCATTGGTTGTAATTCCCCGGATTCATCATCATCTCACACGTCGAATTCTTGTCCTCCTCCTGCTGCTTCTGCTTCTGACAATCAACAGCCAGTAGTGGATCCGCCACCAGCTGGATCTGCTCTTGCAGTTGGTTATTATCGTCTGTTGCCGCCGATGGCGACGACTGGTCGCTGTTAATGACGATGGTCTGCTGCTGATGATCATAATGGCGAGGAAAGGCTGCGGATGGTGCTGATCTTGGTCGCTTTCGATGATGACCAGTGATCTCATCTGCTGGCGATGATGGTTTTGATCTTTTCTTGAAATGGGTCCTCCAGTAGTTCTTTATCTCGTTGTCCGTCCTTCCTGGCAAGTAACTCGCTATGGTCGACCATCTGTTGGCCACGCAGGCATATTAGCATAAAAAAAATTAAAGAGAGTCTGAATAATATATTGATAGATATGTGTTTGCCTAAATTAATCAAGTCTTATCAAACCGCTGGTATGTGTAAGGTTTTGATACGACGATATCAACCTAAGCAAACACGATCTATCAACGTACTAGTCGAACCCTAAAAACTATAACCCAGTAATAGGGAAGGAAACAAAATAAAAAAGTGATGTATAAGGCAAATTACTTGTTTCCCCAGAGAGCATGGAGTTCGATAATGATGCCTTCCTCCTGAGGTGTTAATTGGCCTCTCTTAAGTCCAGGCCTAAGGTAATTCACCCACCTCAGCCTGCAACTCTTCCCACTCCTCTTTAGACCTATAATTTACACAACCAAAGTCATAATAGTTAGTTAAGTTGATTACGTACATAAAGAGTGCAATAAGAAACCCTAAAACTGAGAATATATGTAACATAAAAAGGAATTACCTGTACACTTGGAAACAGAGCTCCACCTTCCATCCCCGTAGAGCTTCACATATTCACTCAGCAACTTGTCTTCCTCAGGAGTCCATGGCCCCTTTCTCCAGCCATGTTCGTCGTGGCCGTACCCGCCCCATCCCATCTTCATCCCTACCATTCTCGATTCTATATTGAGTTGTTTAAGCTCTCTTTTTTCAGGCTTCTAGATGTGTATCGGCTGGCTAGCTAGCTTTGTCTGGAATATGTGTGACATGAATTGAATGTGGGCTTCCATTATATATATATAAGGTCTCACCAGCCATGCACCCACTATTCTTGTCCTTCTTTCTTTTGTCTCCCTATTGCTCCTGTCCTTGTTTCTTCTTTTTCACTCGTTTTTAGCAACTTTTGGTGATCTCATTAGTCACTTATAATTGTTGCCCGAAAGAATCTTTCGTCCTTCCATTTCCATCCTATTATGTGAAGCCAACCCATCACTTCCACCACCTTGGTCCTTAGGCAAGTTTCATTTCATGCTCCAATCAAACCCAAACAAGTGTTTCGTGTATCTACTAGCTAGATCGTTTACCAACGCACAACTTATTAATCTTTGTGAAGGAAAATAATTAACGCTCTGATACCATGATCATAAATCAGTTGGTCCCAATAACTCGTTTATTATATGATATCAGTGTTGGTTTGTCTTTGAGGCCACGTGTTCAAGTTTTCACAACTCTCAATATTAACCGATGTGTTAAAGCACATAGTATGGCGGGCCTATGCCAGCTTTAAACCCAAGAGTCGGTTTTCATTTGAGGGGGCGTGTAAAAAGTTAAGTATCATACATGGATTTCTCTCAACAAATCGAGTTATTGGGACCAACTAGTTTATGACATATCAAGAATTGTGTGATTGATGGGCATACAACTGTATCATCGAATACCCATGAGTCGTGAAAACTTTAAACCCATGAGTCGGTTTTCATTTGAGGGTGCGTGTAAAAAGTTAAGTATCATACATGGACCTCTCTCAACAAATCGAGTTATTGGGACCAACTAGTTTATGACATATCAAGAATTGTGTGATTGATGAGCATACAACTATATCATCGAATACCCATAAAACTACTTTCACATAATACATGATATAAGTGTCAAGAACCAGTTGATCTCAATAACTCGAGTTGTTGGGAGAGGTTCAATCGTGGATCACATACCATTTACTAACACCCCCCTTCAAACTCAAGCCATCAGATAGGCTTGGAGTTTGGACAAGCACAAGTCCAGACACCGTGTGCTTAATAGAAACAGAAACATATGAGGGTCATCGGGATTCGAACAGAAGACCTCTCGGTCACAAAAGGCTCTGATACCATGTCAAGAACCAGTTGATCCCAATAACTCGAGTTATTGAAAGAGGTTCAATCGTGGATCATATACCATTTACTAACAATAAGCGGCGAGAATCAAACTAAAAACATGTGGTAACCGCCTCATGTCTCGCTATTAATGATTAACGTACAAGAAAAGTAATGGGAGATCTTAGTTATGCAGCTCAAAAGCATTGTCGTCGATCGGATCTTCATGGCCTTAGTGGGTTGTTGATGTGTTTAGCGGAAAGTGGTTTCGAGCCAATGGGAAGACAACATGTGTTGGGTACTTAACTATCCTTTATTAATATCGTACGATGCTCGTCATTAGTTTAATGCTTAGTGATTCATTAATCAAATTAATAAGATGGTGTTGTGTGTAAAGAAGGTTCTGGGGAGTCCTGTTAATAGTATGCAAAGAGGTCATCTTCATCTAATTCCAAATGAGTCATCGAATCTGCTCCATACATTGTGGCCCGATTACGCATGCACTATATCGAGCATTTTGGGAATGTTACGGCATGTTATTTTATTGGGTTTAGGGCTGGACACAATTGTTTATTCACATATATGTCTATTTATAGGCATCGAGTGACTCATCACTATTTTCATTAAATAATGCTAAAGATATCTAGCTAGCATAGCTATAGTGTGTATATGTATTAAGTATTATATTTTTTTATGCCAACCGGATTCGGCACTTACAATATAATTTCTGTGTTGAATGGTGTTTTGGTGATACATAATGTTTGTGAAGGCAGTATATATGTTGTCTCTTGATGGAGTATTTTGTGGCATGGTATACGTGATAACGGGTATATAGGGAAAAGCGACCAAAGAAACAAATAAAGCGATGTAAATTTGGAGCCAAGGGTTTGGAGCCAAGACTCATTCCCTTTCAATCTGGGTACGTTGGAATCTACAAGCGTTGAACTAGGGACTCTATTTTCTCTGGATGGAGCGGGTGACCAAGTTGAAGTTGAGCGTGTTATCAGAATCCAAGCTGGGGACTTACATCAGAGGAAGGTTCGTCCGGGCAGAACGAAGTTGGAAATGGAAAGGTTGCGTCTCGGACCGGTAGTGGCGATTCCTTTAGGGTCTCGTAGGCGATCGAGGAGGGTTGATTGGGGCATTTTCTAGTCTATCATGGGTATGTCAGTTCTAGTGTGGAATGTGAGGGGGCTTGGTGACAGGGATAAGAGAGCCAGAGTTAAGCGTTTTGTCAGCGGTAGGAGACCTAATATAGTGGGTTTGGTGGAAACGAAATGAAATAGCTGTGATGAGTCTTTGATCCGGAGTGTTGGCGGGGTGATGGATGCAGGTTGGGCGGTCAAGATGCGGATGGTAGTTTTGGCGGGATTGCTATATTTTGGGAGAAGCTCTATGTCAACGCTTTAGCTAGATCGGTTGGCAGATACTTTCTGGTGGTCAAGTTTCAAGAGATTGAGTCGCAAAAGACTTGGCATTTGGTGGTGGTTTATGGACCACAAGAGAGAGATGATAAGATTGAGTTTCTCGATGATCTTCGTGTTCTCGGGCTAAATTGTCAGGATCCTATATGCATTGTGGGTGATTTTAATTTAGTAAGATGTCATGATGATTATAGGGGCGCAAGACGAAGCAACAATCTTATGGCTGAATTCAATGATGTTATCGATGACTGTGGCTTTTTGGAGCTCCCTCTTGGGGGGAGTAACTTTACTTGGTGCAAAGGAGGAGATAGTAATTGCCTTTCTCGGATTGATCGAGCTTTTGTTTCTGTGAGGTTTGATGAGTTGTTTCCGGATTGCTCTCTTTCTGCACTCGAACGAATTGTTTCTGACCATATTCCGCTGTTGATAAGATGGGGTGACAGTTCCAGAGCGCATAGGCCATGGAGATTCGAGAATATGTGGCTGGAGGATGGAAGGTTTTTCACCAGTCTAAGTATTTGGCTTGCGGATCAGATTCAGGGTCATGGTTTGGCTTTTCGGTGGTTTAGAAGATTACAAGCCCTCAAGAGCAAACTTAAGGTCTGGAATAGAGAGGTTTTCGGGGACCTAAATAAGAAGCTCGAGGAGCTTTCTGCTACTGTCCACTCTATCAATCAGCAGGAAGAGTTATGGTGCTTGAGGATAGAGGATTCTATCACGAGGGAGTGCTTACTTGTTGAGATAGGGAAGGTTCTGGATTTGTTGGAGATTTCGTGGCGTCAGAAGTCCAAAGAGTTGTGGCTACAGAAGGGAGATAGGAATTCAGGCTATTTTCATAAAATAGCAAATTACAGAAGGAAGATGAATCGCATAGGATGCATTAAAACCAATGGAGTACTCACTGAAGGAAGAAATGATATTGCTAATGGGATTGTGAATTTCTATATTGGCTTGTTCCGTGAGGAAATCAAATTTCGTCCCTTTCCACGTAATTATAGCTGCGGTAAAATCAGCGAGGCAAAGAGTCGATGGCTTTGTAGGCCTTTCACGGAGTTGGAGATTTGGGAAAGTATTGCTGAGTGTGATGGGGGCAAGGCTCCTGGTCCGGATGGGTTCACTTGGGCATTTTACAAAAAGTGCTGGGGTTGGATTAAGGCCGAGGTAATGAATGCTTTCGGGGAATTCTTTGTTTCTGGGTACCTGCCTAACAGTATCACTCACTCTTTTATCTGCTTAGTCCCTAAGAAAGACTCGGTTGAAGACATTAAGGATCTGCGGCCAATCAGCTTGATGGGGAGCTTTAATAAGCTGGTCAGTAAAGTCCTATCTCGCAGGCTGGGTTGTGTTCTTCCTCGACTTGTCTCCAAGTATCAGCACACATCCGTTATGGGCAGGCAGATCGGGGAAGCCGGGTTGATTGCTTTCGAATTGTTTGATAGCACGAGGAAAAGCAAGAAACCGGGTATGATGTTCAAGTTGGATATTGAGAAGGCCTTCGATAATCTTAACTGGAATTGTTTGTTTCAAATCTTATCTCACATGGGTTTCTCGGAGCAGTGGCAAAAGTGGATTAAGGGTTCTATGTGAAGTCCTAAAATCTCAGTCTTAGTGAATGGGAACTCTAAAGGCTACTTTGACACCCAGAAGGGTTTGAGGCAAGGAGACCCATTGTCTCCAGGGCTGTTTACTCTGCTCATGGATGTGCTTTCCTTTATGATCTCTATGCTTAGAGATAGTGGGAAACTATCTGGGTTCTTTATGAATGAGGAGAGCGGTGGGGGGGGGGGGGGGAAGGTCACCCATTTGTTGTTCGCTGACGACACTTTAATTTTTTGCGATGCAGACTATGGGCAGGTTGTCAATATACTTGCTACTCTCGTTTGCTTCCAGGTAGTCACAGGGCATAGAATTAATCTGGATAAATCTGTTATGTTCACTGTCGGGGATGTTCCAGATCCTGGTTTTTTGCCTCTATTTTTGGGTGCAATTGGAGTAATGAGGTTTCCAGGTACTTGGGGTTCCCGTTAGGGGCTAAGCCCAATGCAGTACCGCTGTGGGATCCTATTGTGGATAAATACAGGAAGAGGCTCGAAGGATGGAAGGGCAGGTATCTCTCTTTCGGAGGCAGATTAACCATGAGTAAGTCTGTGCTCTTGAATCAAGCGGTCTACTACTTCTCCCTCTTCCGTGCTCCCTCCTCTGTTATCAGAAGTATGGAAGGCATCCAAAGAAGGTTTCTGTGGAGCGGATCGGGTGATAGACTTAAACTTCCGTTAGTGAGTTGGGATACCTGTAAAGCCCCAATTTCTCGGGGTGGACTAGGGACTATGGATTTAACGGCTTTTAATAGAGCAATGCTGGGGAAGTGGTTATGGCGTTTCG